TTATAGACAATTTGGTTGTGGGTGATATAAGGTGTGTGAATTGTGCCATATCTCTTTCAAACTGAAACGGACCAAGTCAGAGTCACTGTAGTGATTAAAGGCCGACATTTACTACCCATGGGCTGGGCGGAGCTTAGTATTTTAATTTGACTGATTATTCCACGACGGTAACTGTCAATCGTTCATTAACTGTAGATAGTCATAATCTTTTGTTTATGTGTATAGTTACTAGTCTAAAGCTGTGTAAAGTGAAAAAAACAATTCATTTCTGGTGACGAAGCAGCTTGTTGGAATCAAAAACAATATGTTTGTTGTAGTAAATATAATTTTTAATACATGAAATGCACAACATTTTATTGAATTTACAAAACGTGACATTTTATATTAAAACTCTCATCTGCTTACATCACAAACAAAACAACGGCTTTTGCACGTTGTTTTAGCGCTGTCAGTATTCTCACTTCCGGGTTTGTCATCGTGTGTACGTACATGTGTACAGCGGTTGCGAACATGGCGAACACGTTTGCTGTGTGCATGACAGGTAAACCTGTAAAAAGAAAAAACTAAGACCAAAACATTGTGCTGATGGAAATAAAATAATACAGACTGAAAGAAACACTTTGATTTTTGTGTTTAATATCTAGCATGCGTTTGATTGATTCCTATATTCCTCGGCTATTTACAATACCCTTAGTTTTCACTTTTAAAAAAAAAAAATCTGACCGACTGATCAAATTTTTCAATTTTCCGACTTGAGGGCAACATAAGTTGGGTTTTTTTTTGGCCTCACCTTCTCACCAGCAGACTTTCTTACCAACATTTTTCCGCCATTTTTTCTTGTATTCTCCAGAATTTCTGGAAATGAACCCTAATTTTTGGAGCCAACAGACAAAACTTGAGTCAATTTTCAGTTTTTATTAAAAATATTTTTTGTCTGAATCTTCTGAAGGATAGTGAAGACTATAAATAGGAATATTTTGTGAAGAAAAGAACAGGCGGTGAAACGATTAAGGACTCTGTTGAGAAATTATGCTAGACAGTGCGCCAAATGAGGGTAGGGGGATAGAACTTAATATTTTTCCTAAGTTGGTGAAGGCTGTAAAAAGTGAAACATGACATGAATTGATAAGCTTGAAATGTGCATCAACCGACAACTAAAGTATGAATTTTAAAGCGAGGGGAGGAGTCGCCTGTGCCAGGTGGCTATAGCGTGTCATTGTTTACAAGTGTCTACCAGCGAGCCTTTGCTTTTTTAGCATGTTATCGTAGCTTGGGACTAGATTCTCGTGCATACGCAGGTGACAACCTCTCGCTTTAAAGATCTTGATGCACTCAATTTTCTGACCTTATTCATGTTCCATTATTTCTATTTATGTTCTATAATTCCCACTTTTATAGATGGAATTCCAGGTTGGTTGATAATTATTCATATTTCCTTTTGTAAATAGCTTGTTGACATTTAGTATGTATTACCCCCAGTACCATAGAAACTATATACAGAACATGTACACAAATGAAACCAAACGAACTTGGGAACCAGTAAATTACACCACATTTATTTCAAAATTGTTTTACTCCCTCTGCCCAGTAATATCAAGTGTTACAAATTCTTAAATGAAAAATAATTGCTATTTTCTTCCATTACAATAAGACATGTGCATATAACTACAATCAACGTATCCGTTCTTTGGATATCAAACATATGGAACAATTCAAACTTCCATTCAAAATAACATTTGAATATAACTACTGTTTTGCCCAGTCATCCTGATTTTGTTTTAACACCATCCCCACCAAAACTTAGTGTAATGAACTCTCCTTCATCTAAGTGTGATTCTGCTGTCTTTCACACTAGGGAGAGTCCATTTCATTAACGAGGGGGATGCAAAGGAGTTTGTTGGGGTGCCGTCAGCCCTGATATCAATGTAAAGTTAACAATATGTAACATGCACAACAGCAAACGAATAATTCAAGACCACATGATTAATTAGGAACTTCAGTGTGTGGATTATGTTTAGACATCAAAGCCCCATCCAAGGATAGTGATACTAAATTATTGAGGCACTGTATGAATGAAAGTTGGCCTTGTACCATGTACTGATGGAGTGCCTCAACTAGCTAACAATACGCAGATGAAACTAATATGGGATAAATTTCAAAACAGGAAGGTGTATATACATCGTAATGCACCATTCAGTGCTGTCATACTCCTCCATGTCTGCAAATACCATTATCAGTAACTAAATTGTTTTAAAGATTTTTTATAATCAAAATTTAAATCTCAATCAAAAGGTTTGATTTGTGTTATATTTACAAACATTTTGCCAATTAATTTTGTTTTCAACAAAAAATATCAACAGAAGAATGATCTCATTTTTCAACAAATGTTTTACGTGTGAATTTACAACACAACAAACTTGTACCATAAATTAACTTTTAATTAGTTTATTTGTGTTGTCACAAAACATGATTTCTGGTTAATAAAATTGTATTTCTTCAAATGGAAGTGGAGATAAAATGAAGCATATATATGAAGAACTGCACCTAAGTTCCTTCCACACTCTGATGCACTAGCCTGTGAAAATTGGAAATCTAATTATATAAATATACGTGTAAAAATCTGGAATCGGTAATATTTTAACGATGCAAACATAAAGGTGACATATCTCCACAATCAATTGATAGTCTCACTGCATCCTTACTGAACATTGTAACCATGACAATGAACATGTTTTGTAACACTGTTTTCTTCGTCGATTACTTGATGAAGAATCGCACAAAAGAAAAACACGAATGTTTGTTTCACATTGCCCTAACACAATTTAGTAAAAGAAGGCTTAGATATGATGATTTCCCTGTTCCCGAGTGCCATAATTTTTTCTGATGAATTTGATACAATATTTTGAAACAAATGTGCATAATTCTCCGTTGGCTACAAGTTATAATCACAATTTTGAATAGATTTATGCAGACATCTGAAAAAATTGGCGTTCAAAAAAGTTAAACAAGGATACTCAGGTAGCAAAAAGAATTAATATATATATATCTATCATTGGTACAGTATAATTTAAATATATATTTTCCAGCAATAAAAAAAAAATAAACAAACCATAATTATTAAGAATATTAATAGGTTATACTTGACAGCATTTAAACACCAACTATCAATATGAA